AAGCGGAGCATGCGAGTGCAAGAACGCAAGTACCTGGAGGCATTGGCTGCCAACTTTGGGTAGAGTGAAGGCCATGTGGTAACTCTTTTTCCCTCTGGGTTCAAGTCTGTGAAGGGACCAGAGGAGGGGAGCTTTGGCGAAGAGGAGAGGCGCCGATTTCACTCGTTGGTGGGCAGCCTCATGTATGCGGTGGTCAACACCCGACCGGACGTCGCCTTTGCTACCGGGCACCTGGCTAGGGCTGCTAATGAGGAGCAGTTAGCAGCTGGAATGTGGGTGGCCAAGTATCTTCGCCAAATAGCGACCGCTGGGCTGCAATACTGGGCGGTGGCGCAAATGCGCCAACAGGGCGCGGATGGTGTTGAATACACGCGTTTGTTCCTCATCGCCTTCTCCGATGCTTCTTATGCATCGAAACCAGAGGACATGACAAATGTTGGAGGCTTCATATGCTGTGCTCGTGGAGGCTCAACTGCTTGGGACAGCAAGAAGCAGGTTGACCAAGCATTGAACACGGTGGAGTCCGAGTACATGGTACTCTTCCATGCCGGACAGGAAATTGTGTGGCAACGGCGTTTGTTGGCTGAGTTAGGGGAGGAGCAGGAGGGACCTACCCCACTCTACTGTGATAGCCAAGGTGCCATTTCACTAGCCAAGAACCCCGTGTTGCACGGCCTAACCAAGCACATGAGGGTGAAATGGCATTAGACGAGGAGCATGGTGGCCGCACGTGAAGTTGAGTTGCACTACGTGAAGACGACAGGGCAGCCAGCTGACTTGATGCCCAAACGACTGGTGGAACAGCAGCATTGAGTGTTGAAAGCTAGCTAGAATGGCTCTGAACTGAGAGGAGCAGATCCTAAGGCCAACAATCTGAGAGGGAGTTTGTTGGTGCAACCCCGTGGTTTGCACTTGGCTTGTTGTCCTTGAGCGTGCATACTGGGCGCATGCAATGGTATGAGGGCATGATATAATACATATTTCATGCTAATAGTAGTGTGTCAATGATGATTCATAATGTCGAATGTGTGTGTCGAGTCAATAGCGAGTTATCGCTATCCGCGTGTGACGTTGTCGTTTGTGTGTTGTGCGTGTTTTCTATTTTGTCGTGTCTCGAACGAACGCATGTCGCAGGTGTGAGCAATAAACTTCCAAGAACTCAGAAAAAAATATCTTGAAGAGCCAGAGCCTTGGTTCTAAAATTCAAGTGATCTCAAAGCTCGCCAAAATGGTAAACTTTAAGATAGTGAGAATAGTTACATTACAATGTGTAGTGTAATATTTCTCTTGGTGTAGGCCCTTTTGGAGGGTAGTTTCGAGACCCTTCTTGGTTGGGAATAGTGTGGCACTGTTCCACATCACTGTACCTTGGTTCTTGTGGTTTGTAGAGTCTGGGAGTCATTCCCAACTCGTAACTCTTCCTAATTTGTGTTCTAAGACTATAGTGGCTGTTGTAGTGTCGTTCATCCAGAATGACGTTGTGTCGTCATTACTTAATGAACTCATGCGATTCAAATTGCCTATTATAGGCGACGTTTACTCACTCTAGATCCAATCTATAGCATGTCATTTAGAGCTGTGACCCGTACGCTATCATCGTTTGAAGCTGCTGTGAAAGATTCCGTCTCTGCTCTCTATCCTTCGTTTTAGGCACATTTGAGCCTATTGTGACTATAACACACACTCCCCCCCACGGCAGCAGGCGCGGCAGTGAGATAGAGAGAGAGGTGATGATGGGCTGGTGCTGCCGGCTGACTCACGTCACCCCCTCACATTCTCCCGCCGTCCCCGCCACCTCCCCCTAACAGCAAAAGCCGCGGGTAAGGCGTGGCAGGGCGCGGATGGCTGCTGGCTGACCACACACGCCACCCCACACCCACCTCCCCCCCCCCCCCCCCCCCCCCCCCCCCCACCTCCCCCCCCCCCCCCCCCCCACCTTCCCCCAGCGGTGGCGGAAGGAAGGGGAAACAGGAGGAGGAGGCGGCTGCACGTAGGAGAGGGGTCGACGGGGCGTCCGACGAGGGCTGCAGCGGCGGGGTGACGAGGCAGCGGGGTCTGCGCGATGAGGTGGGCGACGATGGCCTCGAGCGCCGTCCCGAAGCGCGCGCTAAACGCCCACGAACTGCGCAGGGAGGCGACGGGCAGCTTGACGCCATCAGCTCGCGCAGCTGCTGCAGTAGAAAAATAGGCCGCCATGGGAGATGGCGAGTTTGGTGGGCCCCCGAAAATTAGGTCTTAGGAGGGACCGACGCTGATAGTATGTCAAAATGTAGGCTAGGCTAGGAGAAACATTAGGCTTACGAGCAAGAGGTTTAGGGTTTAGAAGGAGGGGATGCACTATAGAAAACAAAGTACATATAGATAAGAAACATGCAGATAATGGTGCACCACCAACAGACAAGAAGTATAATTACACTACAACAAAACTACAAGCAGTTATAAAATAATTAAAACATATTGCGATAGAATTGACGGCATAGATATCTTAAATACGGGTGTTTTTTATCAAGGAAACTTCTCTTTGTAAGAGACCCATCTGCGTGCATGACAAAAGACACCCAAGGTATTTTATAAACGGCTAATTGGGGCTTCCTAGCCCAGAAATATAAAATACGTAGGGAAATCAAGTTTTTCTAAGATGCACTTCTTCATAAATCTGCACAAGTTCAAGTAGTAATCACACTGTCCGTCTCTATCACTCTAGCACTTGATTCAGGACCATCCAATGCTGCCCCTGTTACTTTCTATGTATGTGCGTCTATCTCTGATGGCTCCACGAGCTTCTCTTCTGCAGCTACATAACATCCCATACCTTCTATAATATAACCCAACCTAGCCCACAAAGTACTCATGCATATGTATAGTGACAACTACAGCTTCGTCTCAACAAATGACATCGACCTAACCTACGTGGAGCTTTGAGGCTACGTTAGCGCGCTAACAACCGACTCCCATTCACAAATTTATCCTTGAATCTAGGGACCCACCTTTTAGAACTCACAAACGCAAGAGCTCATTCCCCCTGGGCTATAATATTTATGTGTGTGTGTTTGTGTGGTATTTTGCCTTGAAGCGTTAGGATGACTGTCAAGGATTGCCTTGATGCATATTCAGAGAGGGGGGGGAGGTGGCGGGGGGTGGGAGGTGAAGAGGTTTTGTATCCATAGATATCTTTCCTACCTTCGTACAATCGCTTGCCACGTTCCAGACAATCTCATACGCACCAACCTGACAAATTAACGAACGAGAATGAATGAACTATGAAAGTGTTGGGTACAAGTACTAACCCTAATTGGGTTGTACCCCCTTATGGGCTACACAAAGTAAGCACTACAACATTCTGACACACCCCCATAGGCCAGTTCACATGCAGAGTTATATAAAAGAGAACAAACAAACAGTATAGTGATCACACCCTAGCAAATGTAAGCATGCAGGATATATATACATCAAAGTACAAGCAAAGTCACGAAGTGGGCAAGTGAGGCAAAGTAGGCACAAGGCCTAAAAAGTACAGAAACGCTGATGATCACCAGACTGAAGTGCCTTGGTGAATATATCAGCAATGTTGGCCCGAGTGGCCATGTAAACAAGACAAAGCTGACCACACTGCTGCAACTCTCGAACAAGGAAGTAACGCAGAGCGATGTGCTTCGTTCTGTGCTCCAGTCTGTGCTCCTGACACAAGGCAATCATGGCCTTGTTGTCTACGTACAGAACTGGAGAAGAACGAGGCCGCTCTCCCAAGTTGGTCAGCAGGTAGGTGAGCCAGCGTAACTCCTGTGCAGCCATGGCCCCTGCGTAGATCTCAGCCTCACAACTAGAACTGAGAACCGAAGATGAGTGGGTAGACCGCCAAGAAACAGAGCCGGAGCCAAGGCTGAAAGTGTAACCCTGTGACGACCGCTGAGTAGCCAAGTCGTCAACCCAAGAAGCGTCTGTGTGTCCAGTGAGGACAACTGGACCCCGTCCTCCAAGCACGAGAACCATGCCTGACGTACTGCACAAGTAGCGCAACACCCTCTTAGCGGCCTCCCAGTGCACTGGTCGGTGTCTCCCGGGCACAACGTAGCGTGCCAGGATGCTAAGACGGTAGGCTAGGTCAGGTTGAGTGCAGGTCATCAAGTACATGAGGCAGCCCACAAGCTCTGGATACAGGCCACTCGGCTCTACGGACTCGTCCGAAGGTGGAGCTGAGAGCGAGTGACCGGTAGGCAGAGGAGTGGACTGTGGCAAGGAGTACCGGAAGCCGAAGTGCTGAAGGACCTGATGCACCATGTGTGAATGAGTCAGGGTGATGGTGCGCCGTGCTCTGTCCCGGGTGATCTGCAAGCCAAGATAGCTGCGCAGCTCACCCAGGTCAGTGCACGTGTGTCTCTTCTGCAGCTCCAACTTCACAGGGGCCAGTGCCTCAGTGTCAGCAGTGGCAAAGACCAAGTCGTTGACGTACACGATGATGAAGATCGGCGGCAGTGAAGTGTCGGTGAGTAGAAACAACGACGGGTCAGCAGTAGAAGGAGCAAACCCAAGAGCCGCAAGCGTTATTCTCAGTGTGTCGTGCCACTCGCGAGGCGCCTGGCGGAGACCCTGAACTGGCTGCCAGAGGCTCCACTGGGTACCTGCAGGAAACGACCCAGTGAAGCCAGAGGCTCCACTGGGCGACGCAGCCAAATCTCCTCGTGCAGGCTGCTCTGCAAGAAAGCTGTGCTGAAGTCAAGAGAGTGAAGCTCGTAGTCACGCTGAGCGGCGACGTACAGCAGTACCCGAAGAGTAGTCATCTTTGGGGTAGGGGAGAAGGTCTGGAAGAAGTCAACTCCCTGTCGCTGTCTGAAGCCTCGTGCAACGTAACAAGCCTTGAAGGCAGGCGGAGAACCCGGCGGCCGCTTCACCCTGAAAATCCACATGCCATCGACTATGTTCGCCCCAGGAGGGGGAACTGTGTCGGCATAAGTGCCTGTGGACTTCCAGGATGCCATCTTTGCATCCATCGCTGTCTGCCACTAAGAGGAGTAGGGACCCGAAATCGCCTCTGCGTAAGAGCGCGGGTTCGAGATGTCAGGTTCATCCGGGTCTCCCTCATGGGCAATCAGCATGGACATGAGATAAGGTACAGCAGCTGCAAAACACTCAAATTCCTCCTGCCTGTCCTCAAGGACGTCCGTGCCAAGAGCATACTCACCCTCGACGGACGGAGGAAAGTCAGACTCAGACTCAGCAACAAGACTAGCGGCATAGTCGAGACGATAGGCGGCAGCAAAGTCAACAAGCTCAGGAACTAGGGCATACGCAGCAGCAGACTCAAACGAAGGGTTAGTGACAACAGTGGCTACAAGACGAGGGACAGTAGGACTGGCAGCACGAACTAAGTCAGACTCAGGGTCCGGACCGTCAGCAAGAGAGGATGCAAGAGGAGACAGCAAGGGGACACACTGTGGAACAGAGGAAGGACGAACTCCCATATGGTGCGAGCAGGGGACAAGAGGAGGACGCTGAAGAGGAACACGACGACCAGTGCGAACGGCGCAAACAGACGAGAAAGGACAAGACACAGGCTCACGACGCTTTGAAAGACTTCTGGTCTGCTCAGTGTAAGGAGAAGGAGCAGGCTGTGGGGAGGCTGGCTGTAACGGCGGCTGCGACTGGTCAGGCGGTGGACACAGTAAGGGAGGAGTAAGACCAGTAGAAGATGGGAGACCAAGAACCTGCTGAAGCAGGGGAACAGAGTACGGTCGCGACCGTCCAGGGTCTCCAAAACCAGCACCAACAGCACTAGCACCACCATAGCCAGCGCCTCCAGCTCCGGTGTCTCCAACTCCATGGTCTCCAGCTCCAAATCCTGCAGTACCACCAGCTCCAACAGCTCCAATACCTCCAGTACGAGCACCTCCGCGACCAGCGGCTCCAGTACCTCCAGCAGCTCCAGCTCCAGTGCCTCCAGCTCCAGCGCCTGCAGTACCTCCAGCTCCAGCGCCACCAGCGCCAGGGTCTTTAGCTCTAGCTCCTCCAGCTCCACCAGCTCTGGCAGCTCCAGTACACGTAGTACGAGCACCTCCAGGACCAGCAGCTCTAGTACCTCCAGCTCCAGTGCCTCCAGCTCTGGCAACTCCACTCCGAAGGCGTGTGCGCCGAGCAACCCACTTGCGGAGCTGCTGCGGGGAGAGAGGCTCCAGCCGGGGAGATAGTCGTAGCGAGGCACCCGCAGAACCTCCAGAAGAAGCATTACCCCTCGGCTCAGCACCCCCAGACTCCGCACCCTTAGACTCAGCACCCCCAGGCTTTGCACCCCCAGGCTCAGCACCCCCAGACTCCGCACCCGCAAGCCCAGCACCCCCAGGATCCACACGCGCAGGCTCAGCACCCCCAGACGCAGCACCTCTAGCAGCACCTGTGTCAACAGCAACCTCAACAGGACCCTGAGGGGGGAGGGGGTCTACCGGAGGGGGACCTGGAGCAAGGAAGAGCGGCGGGGCGGGAGAGGGGCAGAGCGGTAGGGGAAGAGACGGTAAAAGGGAAACGACTCGTCAAACGAGACGTCCCGAGAGGGGAGGACACGGCGGGAGGTGGGGTGGTAAAACTGCCAGCCAGGCGCGTCAGGGGGAAAGCCAAGGAAGACGCAGGGAATAGAGTGGGAGGAGAGCTTGACCGCGGACGTATCGTGAACAAAGGCACAAGAACCCCAGACCCGGAACACCGAGGCATCGCCAACCTTCCCCGTCCAACGCAGTGTAGGCGAGGTCTCCGGCAAGGAGACACGGAGCCAGAGGTTGAGCTGATGCGCAGCGTACCGGACCGCAAACAGCCACAGAAAAAAGGGGGGCAGTCGCATGGATCATGGAAGTACGAGCGACCTCCATGACTAAGCCAATGTGACGCTCAGCAATCCCATTTTGCTGCGGGGAGGCCGGAAGCATGAACGACTGGAGAATGCCCTCCACACGACAAAAGTCCCGCAAGAGGTCGGAGGAGAACTCACCACCTTTGTCAGAGTGCAGACGCAGGACAGGAAGGTCCTGGCGGAACCACTCGCGGAGCTGGAGACGGACTGCGCGGATCCAAGGGATCAAGACATCACGGACCTCACCCTTGCTGCGCAAGGGGAAGACCGTGGTGTAACGCGTGTAGTCGTCAACAACCAGCAGAAAGCAGCGCTCGCGGCCCTGTCCACTGACACGGGCTGGGCCCCAGACGTCCATGTGGAGAGTCTGCAGGGGAGCAGACGTCGGGGGAAACGAGGAGGAGTGAGGAGCGGAGCGCTGCCGCCCCTCGACACAAGGAAGGCAGGGCGGGATAGGCGAGGGTGGGAGGGGAGGAAGAGACCTGGGAAGACCAGAGACAAGGAGGCGGGAGTGCATGCCACGAAGGCGTGGCAGGGAGGGGTGACCAAGTCGGTGGTGCCAGAGGAGAGTCTGGTGCGAGAGGAGGCGACATGAGCAAGGGGGTGCTACCAGACCTGACGCGGACACCTAGGCAGACGCAGCTACTTGAGGAGGCTCGGTAGCCAGTGTGTACTGACTCGACCCTGGCCGACGGATGAACGTGGCCAGGTGACGGCCCGTCCGTGTACACGTGCAGATCGACACACGCTGACCCCCACGAATGGTGGTAGTGACCATCGCATCCTGGAGGGCAGCGGTACTCACCAAGTTCGTAGAGAACGAGGGGAGGTAAAGACCTAACAGTGAGCCGGACGGAACCGCTGGACACGGGAGAACAGCGGAGGAATAGGCAAGGACTGGGCCCCCTAAGGGGTCAGCCAGTCTGACCGGGACAGGTGCAGAGAGAGGAGTGAGGGTGGTGCTGTCGCGAAAGAAACAGCGGGAAGCACCTAAGTAAAGTGTAAAGGTTTGCAAGGCCTCAGCAGGCGCAATACCAGGGAGAGCAGACTCACTAGCACCTACAGCAGCAGCCTCTATACCTGGGTCAAGCGGCACACACATGTAACCCTGCTGAGGCCTTGCAAACCTCAGCACTAACAGACAAGGCATACATAGCAGCAAGGATAGCATCATAGTCAAGGTCAAAGATAGTGACCCCATACCTAAGCAGCTCTGCCCAGCAGGTGCGCTCGGAATCGTCACCAAACTAAGTGCGCCAAGCGACGTCGAGGCGGGAGAAGCAGCGGTGCTGAGTGTGCGGCTTCCCGCATGTCTGACCAGCACGGTCACCCGTTCGAATGACATACGGGCAGCTAACACTACCCCCAGACGCCCCACGCTGAGCAATCCACTCACGACGCTGCTGGGGCGATGGGTCTCGCTCCGACGCTGTTGCTGCTGCCTCTAGCCACTGCCAGAACCTCCTCTCTGAACAGCTCCACCCCGACTGCCACCACTCCCACTGCCGCCACTAACGCCACTCCCACCGCTGCCACCACCGCCGCCACCAAAGCCCCCACTCCCGCCACCACTCCCACCACTGCCACTACCTACACTACCTCCACCACCCCCACTGCTGCCCCCACCACCACCCCCGCTGCCACCGCCACCACCCCTGCCACCCTTGCCCTTTCTACTGCAGCACTTCCAACTAGCAGAAGCAGCCCCGACATCCTCAGCACCAAGGACGCCAACAGCAGCAGCAGAGGCGTATGAGGGGGCAAGAGGGGAGTGGGAACACCCCTCAAAGAAGGGTGTGCGAGGTGTGCCACGAGCGGCACCTACACCGACTACACTAGTCTCAGCTGCAAGAAGGTGCTGCTCAAGTAGGTCGACAGTGAGGTCTGTGGGGTCAAGTGCGAGAAACTGGTCCCTGACAGCGCAAAGAGAGTCAAGGAGGCGGGTGACTATAAAGTACAGAGTGATGTACATCGGGGGCGGGTTCCTGTCAAAGAACTCTGCTGGGAGGGCAGCGTGGTAGCGAGCGTCGCTAGTGCGAAGGTGGGTAACGAGGTACTCTACTATGGCAAAAGCGGACGCGATGGGCCCTTAGGGCAGGGATATTTGTGGGGCATCTTTGTGGTGGGCCCTAAAAAAAATAAACAGTCCTAGCGAAGGAGCTGCTCTGATACCATGTCAAATTAACGAACGAGAATGAGAGAACTATGAAAGAGTTGGGTACAAGTACTAACCCTAATGTGATTTTACCCCATTATGGTCTACCCCACTATAGTCTACACAAATTAAGCACTATAACATTTTGACACAACCATGCGAGGAGGTAGTGTCAAACTAACAAACCAGAATGAATGAACTATGAAACAGTTGGGTACAAGTACTAACCCTAATTGGGTTGTGCCCCTTATTGGCTTCCAAACTATATCCTACAAAAATGTAAGCACTATAACATTCTGACACACCCCCATAGGCAATATGGGGGAGAACAAGTGGTCACAAGACCAGTGAAGAAAAGCAAAGCAAGCTCAGGGTGGATCACAAAGTCACCACACAGTCTGAGCACAAGCAAAGGGCCACAAGGCCAGTTACCACGCAGAGATATATAAAAGAGAACAAACAATACAGTGATCATACCCTAGCAAGTGCAAGCATGCAGGTATATATGTAGATCACTGTATAAGGAAAGTCACGTAGTGAGCAAGTGAGGCAAAGTAGGCACAAGGCCCAACACAGTACAGAAGCGCTGATGATCACCAGGCGGAAGTGGCGTGGTGAATATATCAGCAGTGTTGGCCCTAGTGGCCACGTACGCAAGACGAAGCTGGCCACGCTGCTGCAACTCTCGAGCAAGGAAGTATCGCAGAGCGATGTGCTTCGTTCTGTGCTCCAGTCTGTGCTCCTGACACAAGGCAATCATGGCCTTGTTGTCTACGTACAGAACTGGAGGCGAACGAGGCTGCTCTCCCAAGTCAGTCAGCTGGTAGGTGAGCTAGCGTAGCTCCTGTGCAGCCATGGCCCCTGCGTAGATCTCAGCCTCACAACTGGAACTGAGAACCAAAGATGAGCAGGTAGACCGCCAGGAAACAGAGCCGGAACCGAGGCTGAAGGTGTAACCCTGTGATGACCGCTGCGTAGCTGAGTCGTCGACCCAAGAAGCGTCTGCGTGACCAGTGAGGAAAACTGGACCCCGTCCTCCAAGCACTAGATCCATGCCTGGCGTACTGCACAAGTAACGCAGTACCCTCTTCGCAGCATCCCAGTGCACCTTTCGGTGCCTACCAGGAGCCACGTAGCGAGCCAGGAGGCTGAGAGGGTACGCAAGGTCGGGTCGAGTGCACGTCATCAGGTACATGAGGCAACCCACAAGCTCTGGGTACGGACCACTCGGCTCTACGGACTCGTCCGAAGGTGGAGCCGAGAGCGAGTGGCCGGTAGACAGAGGAGCGGGATTTTCCGAGGAGAACTGGAAGCCGAAGCGCTGAAGGACTTGGTGCACCATGTGTGACTGAGTTAGTGTGATGGTGCGCCGTGCTCTGTCCCGGGTGAAGCCAGGTGGGCGGCGCAGCCAGATCTCCTCGTGCAGGTTGCCCTGCAAGAAAGCTGTGCTGAAGTCCAGAGAGTGCAACTCGTAGTTACGCTGAGCAGCGACGTGCAGCAACACCCGAAGAGTTGTCATCTTCGGGGTGGGGGAGAGGGTCTGGAAGTAGTCAACCCCCTGTCGCTGTCTGAAGCCTCTAGCAACGTAATGCGCCTTGAAGGCAGGCGGAAAACCCGGCGGCCGCTTCACCCTGAAAATCCACATGCCATCGACTATGTTCGCCCGATACGGGGGAATGGCATCGACGTAGGTGCCTGTGGACTTTCAGGATGCCATCTCGGCATCCATGGCTGCCTGCCACTAAGAGGAGTAGGGACGCGAAATCGCCTCTGCGTAAGAGCGCTAGGTCGAGATGTCTGGTGCATCCGGGTCTCCCTCAGGGGCAAGCAGCATGGAAGAGAAACGAGGTACAGCAGCTGCAAGACACTCAAAGTCCTCCTGCTTGTCCTCAAGGACGTCCGTGCCAAGAGCACACTCACCCTCGACGGATGGAGGACTGGCAGACTCAGACTTAGCAACAAGGGCAGTGGCGTAGTCTAGACGACAGGCAGCAGCAAAGTCAACCAGCTCAACAACGAGGGCAGACGCAGCAGTGGACTCAAAAGAAGGATCATTGACAACAGTGGCGAGGAGACGAGAGACAGTGGGACTGGCAGCACGAGCGCGGTCAGACTTAGGGTCAGGGACGGCAGGAAGAGAGGACTCAGGAGGAGCAGGCAGAGGAACACGTAGTGGAACAGAGGAAGGACGAAGTGCCATAGCGTTTGTGCTGGGGTCACGAGGAGGACG